CCCCGCGGCGCAGGCCTCCGAGAGCCAGTGGCTGACGGCGTGGACCACGGACTTGCGGCGACGGCACGCCCATTGGTTGGCTGCCACCTCCGGCAGGGCGAGTGCGAGGGCGCTGAGCCAGCTCCGGAGCAGCACGCTGGCCACGCCGATGGGGCGCGACTCATTCTCGTCTTCCTTAGGGGTGCCAGCCGCGCGCCATGGGAACACCAGCAAGGCCGGGTCGCGCGGCGCGCGGCCGGCGTGCTGAAGGGCGTAGATGGACGTGTGGCACCACAGGTAGTACAGCTCGGTGATGATCGGCGGCGCGATCTGTAGCAGAAACTTCACCTCTCTGGTCTGGAGGTCCATCCGTCGAAACCGGCGGCGCCCTTGGCTTTCTTCAGGGAGTGGACAAACTCCTCCTCTGACGGGAGCCACTGCTCCTCGAAGGCGCTCTGCGGTAACTGCGCGCCCTCCGCCCACTCCAACCAGTGCGCTGTCAGGGGCTCAGGGTCGTAGTTAGGAGGGTCCCAGTGTTGCTACCACTCGTCCCGCATGGCCGCCGCGTCGAAGCCAGCGGCGGGAGCAGGCGCCCGGAAGCGCGGCGTGGCGTAGTTGTAGACGTCGGAGCTCCACTTGGCGAACACGGTGGCCCACGATCGCACTTTGGAGTTTGATATCTTCTGCTGCTCGGCGGTGGTGGCCGCAGAGAGGCTGTCCAGCGCACGGTGGTACGTAGGGATGCCCCTGGGCGGGGCCGTCACGACGCCATCCATGCAAGCTTGGGCGAACTTGGAGAGGTGCTTGTCGTTGAGCAGCCCGTTGCCCTTGAAGTGGTGGCAAACCTGCTCGGTGAAGCTGCGGTGCAGGCGGCGGGCACGCCGGAGCGCGACCGTCTCCTCCAGCCGGTGCGGCGGTGGGGCTGCCGTGGGCCGGCTGGTGGGCATGCTGCCCTTTTCTCGCTCGGGTTTCCTCGAGCATGTCGTCCATTGCTTCGTGGTGGCTTCCTCGAGGGCGTACTCTGCCCGGGCGTGCTAAGCCCTCCATCGGTTCACGAGGGGCTCGGTGGCCATCGGCTTCGGAATCAGCTGGTCGCACGACTCCATGATTGCATCGATTTCGGCGACTGTGATGAAGGACAGCTTGTGGGCTTGATATTCGGCTGTGTGGTGGAGCCGGCAGAACTGCCGATGCTGTTCTTCAACCGTGAGCGTGAAGACGGAGAGACTATGGTACGGGATGCCCTCCACGAAGGTGTTCGACAAATGGGATGGCTCATGCTCGGGATCCCCTCCCCAGACGAGCAGGCGCGATGGTGTGCTTCCGGCCGTGGTGGTGGGGCCACAGGGCGTGGCAGCCTGCCGACCAGCACACACCTCACGACATTAGCCAGGCTTCCAATTCAGATCGCCAAATAACACTGCTGTGTCGGCGAGGTCCTGCGTCCAGCCCATGGCTCGAACGAGCCAGGCGGCGTCTCCCTGAGCAGGGCCATAACCAGATACGCAAGCCGCATTTGCTGTGCGGATGGCGACGGCTCGGTGGCCGAAGCAGCTGCTCCTGTATACCGTGATCTTGCCCACGGAGCGGCGCCAAAAAATGGCGGTGCCGCCCTGGGTCGTGCTGCCTCGTGCGTCTGTGGGGGGCGGGCCAGAACACGCCACGCCCCAGCCAAACTGGGCCGCCAGCTTGATGAGCCAAAGAGGTCGCTGCACGGCGAGCCGGAGCTCGCTCCAAGCCATGACCGTGACCGACTCCCACCATGACCGTGACCGACTCCCCATTACCGTGACCGTGACCGTGATCGAGAGATGGGGGTAGGGAGTCTATAGTTGCTTCTGAAAAAAAGGAGAACGTATGCGGTGCAGTTCTATGTGGTGCAATGCTTGTGGCGTGAACCGTGCACTGAAGCAAGACATGTGAAGTGAGCTACGTGGTGCAATATACGTGGCCCAAAATGTGGCGATATATATATATATGTATATATATATATATATGTATATATGTATGTATGTATGTATATATATATATATATATATATATATATTCATGTGGCGCACACTCTACGTGGTGCAATACATGTGGTGTAAGCAATGTGGTGCACGCAAGGCGATGCAAGTCAATGAAAACCAGCGCAACGCAGAGCGAAGAACGCAATGCAAATGAATGCAATGCAATGCTACGCAACGAAAAACGGAGCAAAGCAGTGCAAAATAATGCAGAGCAATACCAAGCAACGCCACGGAATTCTAAGCAATGCGAAGCAATGCAAAGCAACGCGAAGCAATGCAAAGCCATGCAAAGCGAGCGGCGACGAGGCGGCGACGGCGGCGACATGGCGGCCAAAGAGGCCCGCAGGCCCAGGCGGCGGGCGGGGACGAGGCGGCGACATGGCCGCCAGACCGCTGCGCAGACCCAGACGACGGGCGGCGACAAGGCGGCGACGGCGGCGACATAGCCGCCAGACCGACGCGCAAGCCCAGACGACGGGCGGCGATGAGGCGACGGGGCGGCGGCGGGGCCGCTACATGGCAGCAAGACCGCCGCGCAGACCCAATCGGAGCCCCTAAGTGCAAGCACGATTTAGGAACTTCGAACAAGGTTGCGCCGCACTACGGCGACAATTGCAGTTTGAGAACGACTTTTCCATCTGTGTAACTGGCCCACTAGATTAAAACGACTGCGCGCGGTGCAAAGACAAGAGCCACGTTTTGAGAACGACCTGTGCTCAATCCGTCTAGCTGTCAAAAACGGGTGAGGAGGTCTCAAGCGAAACGCGCGGCCCACCCTGCCAACACGTCTGAGGACTTATCTGTAAGGAAGAGGGACGGAGGAGGCTGATATGAGACAATCCGTGTCCTTTGAGGGTGGGAGGCCCCAAGGAGGAGAAGCAGGAGGAGGAGGGAGGAGGGACGAGGATGGGAGGGCAGAGAAGCGAGGAGGGAGGGAAATGGGGAGGGAGGGGCAGGGGAACCAGGGAGGCGGAGGAGAAACAACGGTGAGGTGGAGGGGAGGGATGGGGGGTGTGGGTGGAGGATCGAGGATCGAGGTCCTTGGCCGCTTTCATCCCTTCGGAATCCCAGAATGTCTTCGGGAGCTCTTCCACCCCGCCCCCCCCCGGATTGCGGAAGTTCGGTATTACGTCCCAACCTTGCAATTGTCGGGCACTCTCGTTGCTTCTTGTAGTTGTAAGTTTCCGGTTCCGGGATGATGCAGCTTCGTCTCGCCCAGAGCGCTGCGGGGGTATCCGGATCGTTCCCAATGGCCTCCGGAGGCCAAAGCACGTGGCCCGAAATCCAGTCGAGGATCGAGGGGCAAGCTTCGAGGATGAAGAATCTTGTTTCGGCCTTTCTGGAAGGTTTCTCGCAGCCGCGACTGGATTCCCCTGGACATTCAGGCCAAATCGCACATCGAGAACAGTCCAGGCATCAAGGCTTCTTGTCCGCCCCCCGAGGATGATTCGAGAGGTTGTTTGGTCCTCCTCCTCCTTCTCGACGACGATGGCGACGACGACGACCACGACCAAGACGACGACGACGAACCACGACAACCACGGACAACGAAGACGACGAACGACGGCGGCGACGACGAGGACAAACGACGGACAACAACGACGACGACGACGACGACGACGACGACGACGACGACGACGACGACGAACGACGACCGACGAACGACAGACGTCGACGACGACAGTGCCCGACCGACGATTGACAACGACGACCCACGACCGACAACGAACGGCGAAGACCACGACCGATGACAACAACGACGACGAAACACGACGGATCGAACTTCGAGGGTGGAGTTGTTTAGGCGGGCTTCGCCCTTTAGAGACCTCCGCAGGGGCTGGTCGTGGCCACGGCTGGATTCCCCTGGAGATCCTGTCTGAATCGCATCCCAAGACAAGTCGGGGGAAGGAGGCTGTTGGTCCTCCCCCACCTCTAGGAGGAGAAGGTCTTCTGAAGGTCTTTCGACGACGACACAAGATGACAAATAACGAACGACGAGATACGACGACGACTAAGACGCCAGACGACGACGACAACGATGACCAACCGAGCGACCGACCGATTGATCGTCCGACGACGACGACGACGAACGAGCGACGAACGAACGAACGACCGACGACCGACAACAAACTGCGACCACAAACGACGACGGAACGACGACGAACGACGACGGGTCTGGCTTCGAGGGTGGAATTGTTTTTGCCGGTGTTTGCCTTTTCTAATGAAGTTCTGATCTGGCCACGGCTCGATTGCCCTGCAGATTCTGGCCAAAGCGCACCCTGACACATGTCCAGAGATCGAGGAGGGGAAGAACGAAGAGGAGGTCTTCGGAAGCTTTCGGGCCAGCTCGACCTCGAGGGCGACGGAGACGAATGACGACGATGACGACCGAAGACCGACCACCACCACCACCACCACCAGGGACGACGTCGGCGACGAACGACGACGGCGACCTGACGACGACTGACGACGACGGACGTCGACGACGACCAAAGACCAACGACCAACGACCAACGACGACGACGACGACAACGAACAATGTCGGCATCAACGTTTCAGGCATTTGGGTTGACGTCGTTCGTCGCTTGTCGTCGTCCGTCGTCGTTCGTCGTCGTCGCCGCTCGTCCGGCGTCGTCGGTCGTCGTTCGCCATCGTTCGTCGTCTTTTTTCGTCCGTCCTCGTCCGTCGTCGCTCGTCGTCCTCCGACGTCGTCCGACGTTTTCCAAAGTCGTCCCCCGTCGTCGTCGTCGTCGCAGAAGAGTAAGAAAAAAACGGGGCCGAAGGGTCCACGACTGCGCGTTGGGGGAGGAGGAGGAGGAGGAGGAGGAGGAGGAGGAGGAGGAGGAAGAGGAGGAAAAGGAGGAGGAGGAGGATGAGGAAGAGAAGAGGGGGAGAGGGAGGAGAAGGGGGAGAGGGAAGAGGAGGCGGAAAAGGAGGAGGATTAGGAGGAGGAGGAGGAGGAGGAGCAGGAGGGGGAGAGGGAGGAGGAGGAGGACGAGGAGGGTCCACGACTGCGCGTTGGCCACGTCGAGCTCGGCGCCCCGCCGAGTCAGCAGCGCGCACACCTCCGGGGCGTCCGCGGGGTCTCCGAGCGGAGAGGGGCCCCTCCTCCCTTCCACGGAGGTGCCTCGGCCAAGACTTCTGTCGGGCCTGTCCCCCTACAGGGGGATTTTCGACGAAAAATAAAAAAACACTCTAAAGATAATTAGAACAATCATCCAAGAATAGTCGGGGGACTGGTTTTGAATGTGTTTTACCTTTCTGTGGTATTTTTGGTGTATTTTTTGTTTTTCGTCGAAAGTCCCCCTGTATGGGGGACACGCCCGACTTAAGCCAACACAATGATAACGACGATGCTGTTCCCGAATCTGCAGGTCGTGGGATTGGAGATGCTGCAAGTGCTTGGAAGGAGCCCGTGTATCACGGACTGCAAGTCGCTGCAGGATGCTGCAAACTCGCAGGCTGCAACAGAAGGACTTGCTGAGCACAGGACCGCCATCGAGACTACGCGGGAGAACGAGAAGATGAAGGAGCTCAACGGCATGTATGGTCACGGGCTCCGGGCCCACGGGCCCCACCCCCCCCAGATGGTATGGTCCCAGGATTCCTCGGGCCCCCCCCCCCTCCAGATGGTATGGTCCCAGAGACGACGACGACGAAGACGACGACGACGTCGACGACGGCGACGACTACGACGACGGCGACGACGGCGACGACGACGACGACGACGACGACGACGGCTGCGGCGGCGACGACGCCGACGGCGGCGGCGACGACGACGATGACGACGATGACGACGGCGACGACGACGATGACGACGACGACGACGACGACGACGACGACGAGGACGACGAGGACGACGAGGACGAGGACGACGAGGACGACGACGACGACGACGCCGACGACGACCTCTGAACCACCACAGCACCACACAACATCCACAGGGGGGGGAGGGGGGCACCGCAGCGCAGCACCACGCCACGCCCACCTCTGAACCACCGCAGCCCAGCACCACGCCACGCCCACAGGAGGGGGCGGGGGGGACCATCGCGCGGGGGGGGGGGGGCCAATGGCATCAGCATTGGGGGGGGGGGCCAAGCCCTGGACCATATGGCGCTGGACGTTGGGCTCACCAAGTTACAGGTGAGACAGCAGTTCGTGGAGAACCTGAGGCGGAACACCCACGCGCTGATGTACGACCCAACGTTCACAGCAGGCAAGAAGGTCAGTCAGTCCAGTCCGAACGAGGCGGCCGCGGTCTTCGATGAGGCGAATGCGATCGAGGCCGACGCAAACGAGGACGACGAAGCTGAGCAGCTGAGGAAGCTGGTGCAAACTTCGAGCAGCGGCACCAGGACGGCGATGAGACTGGTGAGAGCAGTGGCTGTGACGGCGGCGGCCAAGGGCGTGGACGGGCAAGAAATGAATTTCTGGCGACGCCGGACTTTCCCTGGCTTGTGGTGCTGTTGTTCATCACGCTTCTCATAGCGCTGGCAAGTTGCTATTGTGCAGTGACAGGTGCAAGCTGGATGAGACATACCACAAAGAAGAAACTCATGCACGAGGTAGACGACCACCGGAAGGAAAGCAAGCGATTGCATCGAGAGACCGAGATGCTCAGGCTCGAGGATGGATCACGTGTCCAGGACGGCTGGGTCAGCGCTCGAGGATGGATCACGTGTCGAGGACGGCTGGATCAGCGAGGATGGATCACGTGTCGAGGATGGATCACGTGTCGAGGACGTGCACCAGCCAGACCTGCGACGATGATGAGAATGCCGAGCACTCAGAGTCAGTGCACTTCCCGACGCGATCTCACAACCCCGAGGTTTCAGTACTTGTGCGATGGTCAGCAGACTGCGACGATGACCAACGAGCTCGGGAGAGAAAACCAGTGAGGTCGAGGTGAGGGTCAACCCCGACGGTGACTGACAGGCTTGCAGGCATGCTCATTAGTTGTTGTATTGCTGGCGAGCCCTTGCTTTCGTTCAGACTGGGGGCACGCATTCCATATCTGTTCGTGGATCGGCATGGCAGCTCGGACTTCTTATTTCATATTCCATATCGCTTCTGGAATATACGTGATGTCTTGGATGCTGCTTGTAGTCTCAGGGAGACGTTAACCATTTGATGAGTTTGACAGGAAGGACCCTATTTGGGTGTCCCTTTTTCTCCCCTTTGCCAATTGGCACACAGTCCCCTCCGATGCAGCAGTGCAACAGTGTGTTATGACAGCCGGTTGCGACACGAGCGTGCGTCAGCTGCCGCCCCGTACCGAATGATACTGAGGGGGCCCTGAGTCAGACAAGCTGAAAGCGATTTCTGTTCGAGCCCATCGCTTGCCGTCGCTCGGACGTCCATTTCCCGTGCATTGTTCGAGTTCGTGCGTGTTTTGTTGCTCGATGGTCCAGGATGGTCCTCGATGGTTATCGCTGAGGAAAACACACACACACACGTCCGAGCGATGCCAAGATCGTATGTAATATCAGGTTCTTTGTTGGATGGCTTCCTACCTTCGTGTGAGGAATTTCGCCAGTTCCAGAGTGTGCTGCCGACACTCCTCCCGCCCGCCCTCCCTCCTACGTGTCCCCTCCCCTGCCCTCCCTCCCGCCCTCCATCCCCCTTCCCTCCCTCACTCCCTCCGTCCCCTCCTTCCTCTCCTTATCATCCCCCTCTTCCCTCCCTCTCCATCCTCCCCCGCATCCCCTCCCCCCTCCCTCCCTCCCTCCCTCCCTCCTCCCTCTCCTCCCCTCCCTCCCTCCCTCCTCCCTCCCTCTCCTCCTCCTCCTCCTCCTCCACCTCCTCCTCCTCCTCCTCCTCCTCCTCCTCCTCCTCTTCCTTCTTCTTTTCTTCTTCTTCTTACCTCTCCTCCTCCCTCCCTCCTCCCTCCTCCTCCCTCCTCCCTCCTCCCTCCTCCCTCCTCCCTCCTCCCCTCTCCTCCCTCCTCCTCCTCCTCCTCCCTCCTCCTCCTCCCTCCCTCCTCCCTCCTCCCTCCTCCTCCCTCCTTCCCTTCCTCCCTCCCTCCCTTCCTCCCCTCCTCCTGCTCCTCCTCCTCCTCCTCCTCCTCCTTGCACCCGGTCTCCTCCCTCCTATCCCCCATCACTGCACCTTCTCGTGGCCAGCGCGGGCCGCCATGTGCAGGGGGGTGTCGTCCCACGAGTCCTTGGCGTCGAGCTCGGCACCTGAGCCGTCGTTGGCCGTCTGCCGTCTGCCGTCGTCGGTCGTCGGTCGTCGGTCGCCCGACGTCGTCGTCGTCGTCGCCGTCGTCGCCTTGGTCGTCGTCGCCTTGGCTGTCGCCCCCAGATCTCCGACGAAGTGATATGATATGTTCCATCCCGGCGTTGCTCCGCGACTCGGAACCCTGAGGCCCGTCATCGGACACCGGGGCCGTGGAACATGGATCTGGGACGAAAACCCACCCTAGGGGTCGGGACCTCTGAGGCCGTCGTCCGGGCGTACAGACGGACATATAGGCCAGAAGCACATGCCTCAAGAGCACGATACCCCCCGTCGGCCAGAACAAGCGGGACATCCGAGAGTGCCAGCATCCGGCGAGCACGAGGAGCCCAAGGGCATCCTCCCCGAATCGACCTCAATCTGATGCCTCGGTCCGACCGTAGGCCGTCGTCGCCTCCGTCGTCCGTCGTCCGCCCGTCCGTCGGTCGCCCGCCGCCCGCAACGCGCAACGCCCGCCGCCCGCAGCCCGTCGCCGCCTGGCCCCTGACCAGGGCCCAGGAAGAGGAGGAGGAGGAGGAGGAAGAGGAGGAGGAGGAGGAGGCGGAGGAGGAGGAGGAGGAGGGGAGGAGGAGGGGGAAGGGGAGGAGGGGGAGGAGGAGGAGGAGGAGGAGGAGGAGGAGGAGGAGGAGGAGGAGGAGGAGGAGGAGGAGGAGGAGGAGGAGGGAGAGGAGGAGGAGGAAGAGGAGGAGGAGGAGGAGGGGGAGGAGGAGGAGAAGGAGGAGGAGGAGGAGGAGGAGGAGGAGGAGGAGCAGGAGGAGGAGGAGGAGCAGGAGGAGGAGGACGGCGAGAAAGGGGGGAGGAGGAGCCATCAACCCGCAGCCCCTGACCACGAGGACCGCTCGGCGCCCGTGGGCGGTCCCAGGGTCAGGGGCCTCTCTCTGGGCCTCGGGGGCCCTCTGGGTGCCTCCGCGGGAGCTGCGGCTACCCGCAGCGAGGGAGCGGAGGAGCCAGGAGCGCGTTTCTTCATGTTCGGCGATAGTGTGCATTATAGGAGAGGGGGGGGGGCGGGAGGAGCCAGGGGGGGGTATAATGTAACGACTCCCCCCCGCCGTGTGCCCGATGCGCACGGCGGCAGTGCCCGGAGCGCACTGGGGGGGGGAGGGGCATTACGTTATAGGGGGGGGGGGGCGCCGGGGGCTATAATGCCCATTATGCCCCAAGCAATAAAGAAACACGCTCGAGGAGCCAGCGTCCCTGTGGCGGACGGCCCCCTCCTGACGCGCGCCCCAGCGCCAGAGGAGGAGAAAGAGGGTCGAGCATCGGGGAGGAAGCACGAGGTGAGCAAGATGAGCGAGGAGAAACGTGGAGCGGGGGAGGAGCGAGCATAGGGACGAAGGGCCCAAGCATTTGACGCCGTGAGTTCTGTGCCCAACCATGCTGTGGTGTGGGGTGCGCCCCGCGTCACCTCACCTCACCTAACCTCCCACCTCCCTCATCCTTCCTCCCATTCCTGCCTGTGCCCTCCGCATGTCCATGCTTCGTAGCCCCCCTGTGAGCTCCATGCGGAGCTCCACAGGGGTACTACGAGCTCCAGGTGGAGCTCGCAGTGCCCCTCACACGCTCGTAGCCCCGCGTGGAGCTCCCACGGAGGCCTCAAGGGTGGAGTGGGGGGAGGGCACACGCGGTGCCCCAGCCATTTCGGCACGTCCCTCGCACGATCCGCAACCTTAGGTCGGGCATGTTGGACATGGCGGGGCCCCGCGCAGCGGACAGAGAGGATGAGACACCTTTTGCGTTGCACGCAATACCCCTTTGTGCCAACACGTCTACGGAAGATACGCTTAGCACCACACGCTTGCTTAGTGAGAAGCACCTGGGCCGATCGGAGCACCTATATCACAGCACCCCCGACTTTGCGTCGGCCCAGGCATCTGGCGACTTTCTTCTCGAGAACCGAGAGCGAGGGAAGAGAGAGAAAGAGAGAGAGAGAGAGAGAGAGAGAGAGAGAGAGAGAGAGAACATTCTGGCAACACCGCGGCCGGGGCCCCCAGCGCGAAAACCCATGCCCAAGTCAGTCTGGGGCTCTGACGCACGCCGCCGTCCTCACTCCTGGTCCCCGGCCGCCCCCTCCTTCTGTCCTTCCTCGCCCTCCTCTAGCCTCCTCCTGCTGAATCCTCGGCTCCTGTTCTTGGCCACCTTGCCGGTGGTTCGTGCCTCCAGCTCTGAGCCCGGATCTCGGAGATGGAGCCGCCCTGTTCTGAGAAGATGGGCCAGCGCAGCGTTTCCTTTGCTCACGTCGAGTTTCGTGAGGGGGTCTGAGGGGTTGAAGGGATGGGGCACCCACCGTACCACTGATCCGTCCTGCTGGAGAGCGTCTCGGAGAATCGATAGGTCGATCGCCGCCCTCCTGTCCTCCTTCCGCCCGGCCGTGCACTTCGCGAGCGAGTCGAAAACGGACTTGGCGTCGACGATCCTCACTCCTCCTCCTCCTTGGCTGGCTGGTCTGAGCACTGACTCCTCCTTCAACAGGGACACTGTCTGCCCTGCACCTGCTGTCCTGTCCAGCGATGGTCTGACGCCGAAGGCTGCCTCACGGAACATGGCAGACAGCCATTCCGTCTCTCCTACGCACTGCGACAACGCCATGGTCTCTGCTCCCAGTGATGAGTTGGCAGCCCTCTTGAGTCTGGACGACCTCCAGGATACAACGGTCACTCGTCCCGGCTCGCCCCTGGCAACACACTTGTCCCCGACGCCTGCCACCCGCGCTCCCTGGACTGAGCCGGACTCGTCTGTGCCGATGCCTCCTGCGTCACTGGCTGTGATCATGACTGCGGTTCTGAGGTCGCGTGTTCCAGAAGGCCAGGTGTTGGGGCGCTGTGTCTTTCAGCATCTTGGAGGCTTTGTTGGCCATGGCTATGTCGTCTAGTGTCGCTCTGGGAAGCCGCCCTGCCAACGTGGATGCTACCCCTGACACTTCGGGTCGAGTCTCCTTCCCCACCCAGCTCAGACGGTAGATGAGGGAGCGGAGTTGGGCGAACTCGTCGGGGCGCAGCTGGGGGCCTCCGCCCTTCCTTCCTCTGGGGAGATGGATGGGGAAGATCTCCTCTAATATGTACTTCTCCTGATCTATCAGCACCCTGTCCCTCAACCTCCTCGCCCTCCTGCCCGCGAACTCTGTGTCTGCGCCCTTCCACTTGCCGAAGGTGTAGGCTGCTCTGATGATGTCCTTGACATGTTCTCTTATCCAAGGTGCGGATGCGATCCAGAGGTCGTCTACTTCTACTAGGATCTGGGACACGAGCACGCCATCCTTCCTCAGGGCCCAGCAGCACGGATCTAGCAACAGCTTGTGGCACCCGGCCTTTGACAATGTGGATGTCAGTGTCTTGTACCACTCTAGTGGCGCGTCGTCTAGGCCGTACACAGCTACTTCCAGCTCGATAAGGCACCCTTCTTCCACGAACACCCCTCGGACGCCCTCGCACGGCTCTCCATGCAGGGGGCCGTTGGCCCTCTGCAGTTTCCTGCTCTGAGTGAATGCGCTCTGAGCGTCGGCCACTTCTTGCTCGAGATCCAAGGATGCCATGACGAGTGCGAGTGTCGGGATCAACATGACCGTGCACGCACCACCTGCTCTTGGCAGTGCGTGCGGTGCGCAGTCCCTCCTGTACCTCCCACCTTCTCACCATGCGAGAGGAGAGGACCCGCTCGGGCCTGGACCTCCGAACTTGCTTGGAGGCCTCTCGGCAGAGTACCCGGAGGACACCTGGCCTGGCCACTGAGCGCCACTCGGCGGCGCCAGCTGCTTGGAACTGGCCGAGCTCTCCCGGGTCAAGATCTTTGAGGGAGACTTCACCTCCTCGAGAGGACGCCGAGACCCATTCTCCTGTGGCCTCGCCGTCGTCGCACGCTGCATGGAAGTCGGCATTCCCGTTGAGAAAGTCTCCGCGTGTGACACTCCAGCCGGCCTCTGAGAACCACTGTCCGAAAGCCTCACAGTATCCTGAGAGCAAACCGTCCTCGTCCATCGCCCTCGAAGCCTCGTCCTCTGCTGCGACTGTGGCTGCTGTGCTGCCTGCTGCTGGCTGCTGCTGGGTCTGCTGCGGCTGACTCCTCTGCCCTGCCCACCGCTCGTACTCCTGGACCTGCTCTCTGACCCTCCCAGCGACGCCGGGCAGTAGCTCGCTCGGCGTGAGGGGGCCCGCCCGAGCCAGCTCCGCCGGAGACAGCGGCGCGCCTGTCCCTCCTCGCAGCTGTTCTGGAGATAGTCGAAGGTGAGCGGGTATCGAATCTCCTCCTGCCTCGCCCGCCCTCGCTCTCTTGGACCGCTCCTCACTGTCCTCGGATGCTCTGCTGACCTGGCGGACACTGCTCAGCGGGGACGTGGGAGGCAGGACGGAGGGTTCTGAGGCGGTGGTCTGATCGCGCGACTCGCCAATCGGCGCTCGAACTCGACGGGCCTCTGGCCCCGGAGCCCACACCTCTACCCACCTCTGAGCGGGAGGCGGAGGGACTGCTGCTGAGGATCCGCTCGCACTGGGGGAGGCTGCTGCTGCTGCTGCTGCTGCTGCTCTCTCGGCGGGCGACGCGGGGAGGGGGGCTGGATCGCCATCGTCCTGCTCCCGGCGGTCGGCGGGCTTCCGTGGAGCCTCGGATCTGGCGTCCTCCGCAGTCCCGCCTGCGGACCCTCCTCCCTCTCCTCCTCCTCCTCCTCCTTCTGCCTTCTGCTGTGCTGTCTACCCGCGCGCCCTCTCCTCCTCCTCCGCTGCTGGCGGCTGCTCCTGCTGTGTCCCGGCGTCGCCCATGGGAACGGGGGGAAGGTCCCGAGCGCCCTCGGGGGGAGGACCCTCCCGGGCCACATGGACGGCGGATCCGGCTGCGCCGTCTTCTCCGAACTTGCCCCAGAGATCGGAGGGCCTCGTGCTGCGTGAGTTCTGCTCCGAGGGCCTCCTCCTGGGTTGCGGACCTCAGCTGTTCTGTGGCGCACTTCCACAGGCGAGAGC